AGTAGAGCATGAACTTCACCCTCTTCCACCAGTACTGCTTGTAGTCAAGTGGTTTGTCTCAGAATGTAACTCTTTATTGGATGTTTGGAGCATTCATTCTCAAGGGCAAATCATTACTGTTAGGCCTGCAACCATAGAAGGGTATATAAACGCTTTAATAGCTATGATTCACTTTAAAGAAACCTAAAGCAGAAGCAAGGGATAACAAAAACCAAAAGGAGACAAGAATCTGTACAAAAATACTCTGTGATGGTGAATTCAGAGTGATTCAACCAAGACAAAGATACTGGTTTGCGCATAGCCGCTCTTTCAGGGCGTCTCTCCCAGCTTTCCTTCTTTTGTTGCTCTCTTCCTTCCTTTTCCTAAGCTATCTTAACGTAGAAGAGATGCCATTTGGAATTTTAAGAAGTTGTTTGTCCAAAAATAAAGTAAGGGGTCCCACCTCTTTTCAGATAAGAGAAAAGATGACTTCCCTGGTTCTATTTTCACATAAACTCTACGCCTAAGAAGCAATACTTAAAGAAAAAAAGAAAAAAAAGAAAAAAAAAAACAACCACCAGAGTAGAAGTCAGAACACACAACAACCCTGTATGGAACGTCCTCAGATTGCACCTCTGAGGGAAGCGACTGAACTTCTTTGAGCTCACGGTCGGCTGAACCTTTCCCATGAATGAGTGCTCATTGATGGCAGCGCTGGCTGAGGCAGCCCTGCGCGAGGAGCTTGGCACCGCAGCCCTCAGGCTTAAGGAGACCATTGTGTTTAATCTCCTGGCGTGTCATTTATTATTCCCGTGTTTACTTCCACGGCTGCGTGCACCTCACACGTTCTTGTTACCCACGTCATTGGCTGTGTTTACTCTAAGAGAAAGTGTAGATGTTTCCACCGCTCTCTTGAGCTGTTCCCTCTTCTGCCGCTCAGCCTCATTAACAAGTAGCTTTTTCATCCTTCAGACCACAAAGAGCAGACTTCTTGGCTGCAGGGAAAGCTAGCAGATCATCAGGGTATTTTCATGTGTTTTTATTCAGCTGTGGGCATGTTAGCCATCGATTCCTGTAAATTTGGGAGAGAGGATCCTTTCCAGGGCTCATCTAACAAATCTATAGGCTCATATTGGCTTTAGGTCCAAATAATGGACCTAGAGATAGAATGAAAAAAATTAGGTTGAATTTTTGTGTGTCTGTTTTGTCTGTACAGAATGTTAACACAGAGGAAGCTTGACCTTGGCTTAGGCTTTCAAACACTGCAGTATTACTAACAAGACACGAGGATTCAAAAGTCAAACTGAATCTTTCCAGTCAACGAAAGTCAAAGCTGTCATTAACTGAAGCGTGGCTTCTGTGACACAAGGCTCAGGGGAACAAAGCTGTATTTAGACCACAGGTGCTTTCAGTTTTCAAAGGGAGCACAACTGCACATAGCATTTGGTTAGATGGACCAAGGGATGGACTATCTTTCATCTTCCCAGAAGAAGGCTGTAACAGCTCTTCAGTTCATTTCATGAAGCACAGCTGATTTCTATGGCACAGCCTAGGTTATCCCTATCTAGGATCAGATCATTTCTCCTTTTAAATTACAGAATTTGAATCTGTAGCTTTGAATCTGTCATCCTCCTTTTTTTTTTTTTTTTTTTTTTTTCTTTTTATATTGAAAATATAAAGGGATTTTTGTGCAATTCACCGTTTGCATAAACAAGCTCCAGGACAAGATTCTTATCAGCCTTTTCTCTGTTGCCAATTTCTTTAGGAAATGGCTGAGGGCTTTTAGCACTTGGTCATGCAAAAAGATCTCTGCTGTGCCTTTGCCTTGTCATCTTACGTGTTAGTGCTTATTTGGTGCTTCACAGATAAATGAGCAATAGAACCAGGCCTCTAAGGGCAGGTCCAGATCATTCCAGATATTTGTAACTATTCACTAAGACAGAGAAAGGGAAAAGCATAATAGACATGACTATATATGTGTGTGTATATATATATATATGAATGTATATAACAAGTGATGCACAAGCAATTGCTTACCACTCCCTGACCAGTGCCCAGCTAACTCCCCTAGCAGTAGAAGAGAGAAGATGAGCTCCCACCCACTTCAGAACTCCTTTTGCATAATGTCAGATGGCATGGATTATCTTTGGCCAGTTTAAGTTAGCTGTCCTAATCCTGTAACCTTTCAGCTCCTTGGGCCATTTGCTGAGAACAGCCTTGGCTCTGTACAGCACTGCTTTGCAGAAACTATAAACATCACTGTTCTATCAACATTATTTTTCTCCGAGAACCAAAAATGTTGCATCATAGCAGACACTCTGAAGGAAACAATTAAATTTCCAGCTGAAACTAGGACACCCTCTGCAGTGTCTGAGCCAAACGGTGTGCTGTGAGATGTGACCAGATGCCTCCAGTATCCCAAAGTTAGTCAAGCCTGTCCAGTCAGTGGGCAGATAAAGCCTGCAAGTGTTGAAGAGAGTCTTTGATTGGAACTTCTTTCTGCATGTAGAGAAGCAGGGACCACCAGTTCAGTTGCCACAGCAGGTTAATGTTAGCTTTGTGGTTTTCAGAAGCTTTCTTGATGACCTTCTGTGGTGACTGTTTCGTGTTGCTTTTTTAACCCTGAAGGCCAACTATGCTGACTAATGAGAACATTTGTGACACTGTTTCTGTAGCTTGTATTGAGAAATCGTGTGAAGGAAGAATAGAGTCAGGGAAGTACTCAGCACAGGAGGTTTGCTTAGTTTCCTTGTAATTGGCAAGGAAGCAGCAGTGTTGTTTTTGGTCCCAGTGCTTACATGGAGAAATATTTAGCCTGCTTTACTGCTCCATCAGTGACTGACGCTGGTGACATGACCATGAGCCATTCAAAAGACTTTGGGAAAATTGCTGTGAAACAAGCAGCAACCAATTAGTATAATTCACATGCTGGTGCCCAAGTTAACTCTGACAACAAGAATCTGAAGCTATTAGAAGCAAAGTTCTTGAAACACATCCAGAAAGTATTAACATGCTGTATGCCAGGTGGTCAGAAGGTCACTGGGACAGAGATAATGAGCAACTGGAAAAAAAAATTCACATGGGAACTTTCATCTGCTCTAATTGTACCACCGTTCCATTCTTTGTTCTCAGAACTGCTGTGATGTAGAAGCTAATTGGGCTTTTTAAATACCCTAAACCAACAAAGTATAGGAGAATAAACATTTATCATAAGTTTAGCCTGCTCATTTTGTGGACCCCCTGTGCTTTCATCCTCCTTTAAACACCATTCTCTGCAAAAGCCCTGTTTAAGTGGTTAGTTACACAGCCAGTCGTCTTAGTTGATTTCTCGTGTGAAAGATGCATTCAAAAGAAATGTAGGAAGATGAGAGATTAACTTGTATTTCCAGACTAGACAGGAGCTTTTCCTTATTGAAAAGTCGGATGAGCAGCAAATTCAGCCCAGCAAGAGAGCAAGAGCAAGATGACTGTTTTTAACCATGCTAAAGAAGAGTTTTACAGTTCTGCCAAGGCATGGGCAAAATTGCTTTGTGCTTTTTCTCTACACGTATTTCTCAGTGTTGTTGATTGACGAACGGAGCAGACTTCACTCAGAGAGTATTGTGGCTCCTAGTGCAGAGCTCAGAACGGCAGTCCTGCCAGAGTCCAAGCCAGAGCTTAATTTGTACTGACCTCCTTAATGATGCTGATGAAAGGCAAAGCCAATGTTTCTCATATGTCTGAAAGCTGATCTCCCAGTCAGAGAAGAAAAAACTGATCTCATACACCCTGTTTCAATACCACATGTCTTGAGAAAAACATACACTCATCTACCTTTTATGTGATACTCAAGATCCCCTTTCTTCACCCACCGATCACCCCATCGTGCAACCTCCTGGTTGTGTGCTACACTTAAGAAACACTGAACTGAGCTAGGTCAAATGGACGAAGCACAGAAATGGTGGGGAATCATTAAACTAGTGTTTAACAACAGGAAAAGATGTAACAAATGGAGAAGAAAATAAAAGTGTTACGTCCAAGAGGGAGGATAAATATGATAGATAAAACACTGACCTGTACTTGCCACTGTCCCTATGATAGATAAACTTTCAAGACAGCTGCATATCCTATTTTACAATGGATTAGCACCATTTTGGTTTGTGTCTTGCATCCAAATACTTTAGCTGGAACACTCCAGATATGGGGCTCCCTGTGTTTTTTCAGGTGCTTACAATTAGTTTATAACTGTCTCTGCTGACTGCCTTCACCAAAAAGCAGGCAGGCATAGAACAGTTCCTGCCAAGACATTTGGAAACATCACCAGAGCCAAGAAATGAAATGTTCGCAGCCTTTGTGAGGAATCCAAGAATGTCAGCATGTACTGCCTGCCTACTTTCCACTGAATACCTAAGCTTGGCTAATGATTTGGAACTGAAACATACCATACAGGCCTGCAGCAAGAGAGGGAAGGAGCTAGTTCAATCCATGAGAAGACATGGCACTTCTCAGTAAGACATCTGAACCTCACATACCACAAGTTGATGTAGATTCTCTTTGTGTTTTAGGCTGTTTTTTCCCCTCATCATGTGATCCACAGTTTATATCACTTGGAGTCTCGCTCAAGTTTGACTTAAAGTATCAACTAGCTAGCTTACCAATACATGGATCATACATGTTAATAGGGAAATCCATGGAGGGAAGTGAGGCTGCAAGCCCCAAGGAACAAGAAGAACACTCAGAGCTGAGAGCAGTGCTCTGCTGGAAAGGACAGGATCAAGAAAGAAACCATTTGAAGAGCCTCCACTGGACGTTGTATTGCTGGAAAAGCTCTCACTTGCAGAGTTGCTAATACACCAGCATCTCACTTCTCCAACTTTGGAAAGAGGAATGCTGTGTTAGGTTGCATCATTTTCTTTGTTATTTTGGTTTCCCGCACACTTCTTTGTCAAATTCAGTTCTTTTTTTCTCTCTACCTAGAACGTGCTTGAAGTTTTGGAGAGTATGTTTGTTCATTTGTTTTTCTTCTCTTTCTTCTTCCCCAGAATCTTATGGCAAGAGCTCTCTATGATAACGTCCCCGAATGTGCAGAAGAGTTGGCCTTCCGCAAGGGAGACATTTTGACCGTGATAGAGCAGAACACCGAAGGCCTCGAAGGATGGTGGCTGTGCTCCCTCCATGGCCGGCAAGGCATTGTTCCAGGCAACCGCGTGAAGCTTTTGATAGGTCCAGTGGTACAGGACAGTCCTCCCAGCCAGGATATGTCCAATTCAGGACTGACGCATCAATCCTTCAACCAACAAAAGATCTATCAAGTGCCAAGCTCACATGCCTCAGCACGGGACCCTGTCTACCAGGTGCCTCCTTCCCATATGAATCAGGGAATTTACCAAATACCCACTGGTCACGGTGTAGCAGGGCAAGATATCTACCAAGTGCCACCTTCCACGCAGAGATGCCTTGACGGTCCACCTCTGACTAACAAGGTGAGTGCATTTACCTTCATGTCATATTCAAAACTCGTGTTGCTTGTGCTGATTGCCAGTGATGTAGTTAATGTATAGTGATTAGGCTACGGACTTCAGACATAGGAAGGATAAATAAATAAATTGAACTGCTTACCCACTCCCTGCTTGTAACTTTACTGCTGTGGGAGGAAAAGAAAGGCCCAGCTCTTAATGGCTTGCTTATTTCATAACTCAGTAGAGCATGCACTGCTGAAGGTGAGGAAAGTGTGTTATCCTATGTCCTCACAGGCTCTCTAAGGAGCCTGAAGCACATCTGGCATATGGCACTCTTGCATTATCTACTCAAAGGAGAGCTGTTGCAATGAGACTAACTCTCCCACAAGTTAATGAACAGTAACATCATCTGCCCCAGTAATTTTTATTTAATTAAATATGATGTACCTTGCTGGAAAAGTCCCAGTGGACCTAAACTTCAAAGACAGAGCAATGATTGCTGAGATGAGATACTTGGAAGAGTGAAGGAGCATGAGGATGTTAACAAGAGATGTTTAATAATGAGCCTGAAGTTTACAGAAATGAATTTGATGCTTATCTATAGCTAAAATGCAGATTTCTAAACTAAAAGAGGGAGCTGCAGCAGCTACACAGTGCAGCTATTACTGGAACAGCAGAAAGCTCCAAAGGCTTCAGTGAGCATAGGAAAGACCTTCCAGTACTTGAGCCCCTTCCTTGTGCTTGTTGTCCATCTCAGTCTCTCCTCATCTCCTATATTTACCTCATTTTACCTTTGCAGATAAATTGGTATGCAGTGCCACCTACATAGGTGGCAACAGGGCCTTGGTGGCTGAAAGTGTTAGAGAAGGTGTGTCTGTATGAGGAAGCAGAGGAGTTTGCATGAGGAGCCTTCCAGGCTCCTTCCAGCCAAAAAGAAGTTGCCCTACTGTCCCTCCATTCCCACCTCTGGCAATTAGCATCTTCTTTACCTACAGAGCTTAAGGTTAAATGAGCTGAGGATGTCTCTGTCAGCAACTTGTTGACTAGTTCAGATTTTCAACTCCAGATTTATATTGGCAAGACAGTCTGTTTTGGGTTGTTGTGTTTGTTTTTAGCCCCTAAACTCAGTCCATCAGGCACTTGGAAGAGTTCTTCTAATGCTTTTATTTCCTTGTTATAATTTCATTTTCACTGATAAAAATAGATGGACTGTTTTCCTTCTCCTGTGCAAGAGCAAAAAATCTATGAAATCATTCCAAATCAAGTTAGAGGAGAGTTTTGTTTGCTCAGCTTTTCTAGTTATGTTGTGTAGGACATGCAGGAGAATAAGATGAGCAAACTGCACTTCCTGCAAGCAGCGTCTTTGTTGGAGCAATTATTACCCAAGAAAACCCACATCTCTCTCCTTTCCCTTTGGCTAGATACAGTTAAACCTTTCTCAGGGCAGTGTGGTTTATCTATCCACATTAGTATTTAGACACCCACCAAAGCAGTCACCAGACACCCAGCAAAGAGTCAGCTGACTCAAAGGAGAGTTCACATTTTAGCGTTGGTGTGCATATAATAGCACAGTCCTGTGCAGAGATACCTCAGCTAGCTATCTCAGGCCACACAAGGTGCACCAAACTGCAGAGCTGTGCAGAGTATGATGGGAAGCCCAGGATGCTAGCTCACATGCAGTGCTATGTACTGACCAGCTGCTTTCCTTTTAGAAAATATAAATGACCAGTGTATAAATGACCACTGGCATAGTATTCATGGTGTAATGGTGTGCACTCTGCATACAAAAATCTCTTCATGTTCCCTCTGCTTTCTCTAGCTCCATCAAAATTATTACAACATTCTGCATAAGCCTGGATGCAACGTGGAGCATGCTAAAGCCCTAAATACACAGAACTGAAACAGATTTCAGTAATGCAGACTTCTAGTGGAAATGAAAAATCAGTGATGCTAACGCACCTGTTTTCTCTAAGTTTATGCCTAGAAACTTTTCTGCAAATCTGAATATGCATTTTTCTGAAGTCACCCTCTGTAGGAAAATAAGACCAATTATTTGGCTTACAACTTGTTTTGCTCAATTCTTTGCAAGTTATGAAAAGTGAGCTGTGCTACACAAAAGCAAGTGAATTGACCACTCTAGAATAAATTAAATGCATATTTATAAAGCAGTTTACCCTGAGCAAAGTAGCTATCAACATGCTTAGTGCTGGCTAGCATTTGTTACTCAGGATGGGATTGCTTTGATCCTGAGTCAGTTAATTTGGTGTACAGGCCCCAAGTCTCAGTGCTCAGTATGTAGTGGCAGGCTTGCTGGATGGCAAACCTCATTCCAGCGTCCTGCTTTGATTATGGGCAGACATCTGTCTAGTCCTGTGGAATTCTCTGGTTTAGACTAAAAAGAGCCCGTTGGAACTGAAATGATGATGAACAAGTAAGAGCTGTAGGTTTATTAGTAACAGAAGAGTGAGGCAAAAAGTAAAGAAGCAAATACTCCATTCTTTATCATCCTAACCTTGCAAAGCTGTGTTTACAGCTGTGCTCACCAAAAGCAGCTGCTGCAACTCCCTGCTAATGCCTTTGTGAAAGCAAATCTAACCAAGGAAAAGCACTTTAGCACTTGCCTCCTATGTCCAAGGTAACAGCCTGTCCTCCTAATCCTCCTTTAGGAATCCATAAGAACAGTCCTTAGTATTGAGGAAAAGGGGAAATCTTGAACATTTGATTCAAGGAAACTTTGCTTGCACTTCCAAAGGAATTAATAGTTTTTCCTCAGACTTGTGACACATGCCCAAATGGCATAATTGAGCCACTCTGCTTTCTTCCATTAGCAGAAACAGCTGGTCAGCAAGCTGTGCATCTTGGCAGGGCTATAGAAGTTGAAAGGCTTTTACTTTACACTCACTGCATATGTAAGCCTTCTCCTTTCTCATAACTGTAACTCAAGAAGACTGTGTCCTAAACACCACCCTAAGCAGGGCCAGCAGCAGTTTCTATCCTATGCATTTCTGTGCACATTTGCCTGTTGTTGTTTTGGTTTTTTTTGTGTGTGTGTGCAAATGTGTGGTTTGGCTGCCATACAGGTTTTTTACAGGCAAAGCTCAGGAACTGCTGTCAGGCAGTAATTGTCTAGCCTCAGGTAACAGTAAATCAACAGCAAGCATGTTATAAAGCTGCACTGAGGTAACACATCTAGTTAACCAGAAAGGCAAAGCAAACCAAAAAGGAGTCCTGAGGCAGGTGATTATGATGATGAATTGATTTTGGCCAGGCAAGTTGATAACAACAGAGCTCTTTACAGCTTCTTCTATCAAATAAAAATGCCACCTTCTAAAACTTACTCTACAAACGACAGAGATAAGGAAGGGTGACTGAAAATTAGCCGTGTTCAGCTGCAAGCTTCTGTTGCTGCAAGTTGGGTCACAAAACAGTTACACCCTTAAACGTGAAGAGCATTTGGGGAACTTAAAGGTACAAAAGCTGCACCTTGCAGTTTATTTCTCCCATCTGTGCTCAACCCTCAGCCTTACTCACTTTTCACTGCAACAAGCAAAGAGAAGGAACCTTCAGACATACCTGGTATTCAGGAAACCTGGGTTTTATCTTTGCCACAGAGTTCTACATAGTCTGGAGTGGAGTCTCTGCACCTCAGTGATCTCATCTACAAAACATGTGGCTATAATTATAAGAGATCTCATTCTGTACAGAAAATCCTTCGAGAAAGGTGCTTTCAAAACATCAAGTGTCTTTAGCATCTGCAATTACACATAGTTTTCCCTAGTTTAAAGTCCTTGTGAGAACTAATGATTACAGGACATCACCAGCATAACTCAGGTTTTTTCTTCTCATAGTTCAGTGTTTCCCTAAGTGATCTGCTCTGCTGTCTCAGCCATCCTGAAAACAGCTTTAGCCAAAAGTTCCAGGGAAATTTTTTGCACGTTGGAAAGCCATTACAACAAATTCTGAAAGTTTTCTGTAGGAACCAATAGCTTTCAGGAATCAGCATAAAACAGAATACGAGGCTGACACACCACAGCTGCTCAAGTGGGGAAGAGACAGCTCTGCAGCAGATATCAGCCCTGACAAGCAGCTCTCACAAGGACCCGAGTAACTCAGCTAAATGGAGACAAATGCCAACTTGGAACTCTCCAGCTTTTTTGTTTGTTTATTTTAAACTAGAGCTCTACAGTTCAGGAAACACTTGGATTTATCCGCCTTTTAAAGATGGATGAAGCAGAGGAGGGAAGGAGCTCATATTCACGCATGAACATCCCTGGCCTATTTCCAGGTGTAAACACGCCCTTGGCAGACCCTTTCACACCCCACCATCCTGTGTTCTCCACCTTTTTCATGAGTTCAGTGCCTTCAGCAGGAGGTTTGGGTAAAGCACAGGCTGAGGGAATAGGCCTTGTTTCCCTATGGTCTTTATTTAAATCAGAGTCACTCTCGATGGATCCATGAGAAAGTAGAAACGCAGCCCCACATGTAGCACCACCCTGACTGCTTTGGCACAGACTTCAGTAGCAGGGTCAGTTAGCTGTGTTATGGCGTTTTTCCTTCCAGTTAAAGAAGTACTGTCTTAGCTGGGAGGGTACAAACAGCTGCTTGTAATGCATGCTCCAGAAATAAGCTTGCCTTTCCTTGCCTAGCTTCACATTCCTCTTTTTACTTGTCTAGCTTCACATTCACAAAGTATGAAAATGCAGACATTTAGCAAAGCAAAGAGCTACCTTTAAGCATGGCAGACACATTTTGCCAACAAGCTTTCTTTTTCCTCACATAAAAACAATGTTTTTGTATTCCAGGATAGAATAATGTCCCCGTTTACCCTTGAATCTAAAAGTCCTCTGATCCAGTTCACTCAAAGGGCCCGAGCAGTCTTCTTACCATCTCTTTTTCCTATTACTTTCACATTGTAAATTCCACTTTGGGGATTTTTAACCTTCGTAACAAAATATTGTTTCAGTGTTAAAGTGCTGAAAACACAGCAGAATTGCTGAGTGCTGCAGGAATTGTAATGCATACCT